AAAAAAAAAAAAAAAAAAGTCTCAGATACAATAAAAGATCACCTGACATGCCCAGAACCAGAAAAATCTCAACCTGAGAGAAGACATCATCAGATGTCAGCACCAAGACAGCACAGATGCTGTAGTCACCTAGCAGGTGCCTAAAGCAGTCACATAAAAATGGCTCAACAAGCAATTTAGTAAAACAAATGGAAAAACAGAAAGTCTCAGCAGAGAAGCAGACGCAGCAAAGAAGCCAGTGGGAACATGAGACTGGAAAGCAGGGCAGCCAGAGGGCCCACTGCTCCCGCTCACAGAGTGGGTGCAGCAGAGGAAGAGTCAGCAAACTTGAAGACAGAACAATAGAAATGGTCTGATTTGAACAACAGAGAGAAAAGAAAATGAAAAAAAGAAAAGAGAGAGAGAGAGAAAAGAACAGAGTCCAGGGACCTCTGGGGTAGTAACAAAAATCTAGTAACACTCATGCCACCCCAGTCCCAGAATGATGTGGGAGCACAGCTGAAAATACCAAGGTTTAGAAGAAGGAACGGCAAAGACACTCCACAAAGTGATGTAAAGCAATTTTAAGTGCCCTCAAAAACAGCTTGAGAAAGAAAGTTAGTACCTATATGGAGGATAACTGGGCCACATCTGTCCCAGCATCCAACACGTCTGGCCCTGCATTTTGAGCAAAGCGGAGAAGCAGCCTCAACATCAATATCCACCTTTGTAGGCTGGGCACCTACACAGCCCTCCCCAGCTGAGGGAGACACTGACCTCCAGTCCAAACCTTCAACTCCTCCCTTGGTTCCCAGATATGTGGGAGTGACAACATGAGCCAGCAGCACAGCCCAGGGACACAGCTGCTAATGGGCGCAGATGCCCGCAGACACTGTTACAGGACAACACCTCAGGTCTACCTCAGGACAGTGGCTCCTGTGAAAGGCACATCTGTGGCAGGGACCCTAGAGACTGTGCCTATGGGTTGTTATAGGAGATACTGGCTCTGACAGGTCAAAGTGGTACTTCTGCAGTGGTCGGGGGGTGGGGGGTTAACAGGGCCCAGAGGCGAATAGACTGTCCTTGCACCTGGCCTGTCAGAGAAGGTGTCTCTGCTGAATGTCTGATGTTGTCCTTCTGGTCAGCTGATCAGCATCTGAGAGGTTCTGAGCAATCAGCTGGGCACATGTAACAGAGGCCCAGCCAGCCATTCAAAAAGATGCAGCAGAACTCAGCACACCAACACAGAGAAAGGAGGCCAGAAACAGCATGGGAACTGCTAGCAGCAAGTTTCACAGCAGTGTGTGCAAGAGGCTGTATTTGAGCCCCGGTGATGCCACAGCAGACCACAAGCAAGACATTTCACTTCATCATCTTCTCTGAGAAATGACTTTCTATAAGAACATATTACTTTGGGATTATTTATATATTTATTTAGAGACAGACTGTTACTCTATTGCCCTCAGTAGAGTGCCGTGGCGTCACAGCCCACAGCAACCTCAAACTCCTGGGCTCAAGAGATCCTCCTATCTCAGCCTCCAGAGTAGCTGGGACTACAGGCGCCCACCACTAGTTTATCTATGTTTAGTAGAGACAAGGGTCTTCCTCTTGCTCAGGCTGGTCTCAAAACTCCTCGGCTCAGGCAATCTATCTGCTCAGCCTCCCAGAGTGCTGGGATCACAGGCATGAGCCACCTTTGTGATTTTAAGGTGTTCTAAAATGCTCTCTACATTAGAAGAATATATAACCACATGAAAAGTGCAAACAGAACCTGCAGCGTGCTCTCCCTCTGATGCTCTATGTACACACGCATCACACATAGAGAAACAAACACTCGGAAGACTCACTCTGCTAATGTGTACTGAACATATACATGTCACTTCAGAAATGGGGGCTGAAGCTTTCAGTGTCAAGAATCTTACCAAACTCTCAACACAATGGTAGGTGAATGGAGTGGGCATGAGTGAGTTCCTGAGGTCCAGCCACAGGACCCTAAAGCCAAGGTATTTGGTTTTCACATCAACTTGCCTGGAATCAGCTCATTTAGTTTTGAAATTGATATACAAGGTGTTCATAAAGTTTGTATGCAATTTGAAATAGGCAACTATTTTAAGTTGCACATGAACTTTATGGACACCTTGTATATTTCTCATTAAAATAAGCCGAAATAGGCTTGGCGCCTATAGCTCAACCGGC